CCCTGGTGCAGCTCACGACTATGTACTTGTACTCTTCTCTTTTTTTAAAAAAAAATGTCTAGAGTCCTAATCTTCTGAATCCTTCTGCTGGCTACATCCCTATGAATCAGAGCAGCCTCCCTGGAAGTCGTCAGGTAAGAATTTCCCGAACAATCTCTTTCTAGATCAGAGCTGATAAAGAATGAAGGGCTGCATGTCTAGTTAGGAGAGTGTTGTTAGTGAGATGGGAACCGTCTGACTCACAGGTTAGTTGCAAGGCTCGGCAATGGTACTTTTTTGAGACTACAATTCCCAGACTCCTGCAGTCCGTGTGGCCAGCGAAGAACTTGTTCTTTACTGGTGTGGAGGAGGACTAGAGTAAACACTTTGAGGTTTCAGCCCCGTGGTGTCTCTTGTTAAAGGAGAAAGGCCAGAAGGAATCTTTGCTAGAGACCACACAGCTGCCCAGTTTTCACCTACCAAACTCAGGGTAGCCCACCCACCATGCACGAGTGGCGAAACAGGTGCTTGCCAACCCTTCTGTTCTGCAGCTCTGGGAAGGCAGCAAAAACAGATGGTTTACTGGGCTGCCGCCCATGACTCTGTTTTGTTCTTAGTTGGTCACAGGTTGGTTGCAGCCACTACAGTCTACAATCCCGTGTCTGAGCGACTCTTTGTCAGCCCCTTCTGTCTGAATCTAATTGGGTGTTCTGGTCAGTGCTTCCCACAGTCAGGCAAAATGGGGTAGCAGTGTCTTTGGGCCTAATCAGACTTTCCGCCCCCCCTTCTTGTTCCTTTTTGCCTCTGTGTGATCAGAGCGCCGGGCTGGGCTCTCGGCAGACTTTGCGCACAAGGCAGGAGTCGACAGGCCGCACGGTGTCGGAGTCCTCAGAGGGACGGGGCACGGCCTCGGAGTATGACCTCACAGAGGACCTGTCCTTGTCTGGGAGCCTGTGTCGCAGCCTGCGCTCCCGAGGAGACAGCGCCTACCTGTCTCAGCGCGAGAGCCTGATGCTCCCCGTTGGAAGTGCTGATGGAGAAGAGGATGCCAATGGCTATGTCATGCCAGACCGAAATGGCAGAGGTAGGAACAGCACCAGTGAGGGCCCTGCAGGGGAAGGAGACACGCTTATGCTTCCCTAAGTGTTCGAGGGTGGATAGGTGGGAGATGGTTTCAAAATCAGGGTAAAAAGGGCAAGAGTCGTCATGACCTACAGGTTCCAGCAGAATCAGTGGAATTGATAGACGTGTTGACTTAAAATTCAACAATTGATTCAGACAAGCAATTGGATTTTGGTCATTTTTTTAAAAAATGAAAATTTGCTAATCATGCATGCAGCTTTCACCATGCCTTTGTTTCGCACAGAGAAGCCCTGCAGAAGCTTCTATAGACACACTATAGACATATAGTGTGTTCTGCTTTCTCGCTAATGAACCTTTTGCTCCGTGGCTGGAAGGGGGCAAAATCTGGCCCTCTATTTTGTTTGACTGCAACTTCAGCCTTCTTAACTGTCGGCTGTGATGGTCAGGAGTGTTGAAAGTTCCAGTCCAGCATCTGGAGGGCCTCAAGTTGTCCACCCCATGCTAAGGCCAGGAGCAGAAATGAAAGAGTCCCACGTGTGGTCTCCTTGTTTTCCCGTACTGTAAATATAGTGCTGTGCTAGACCAAGGTGTGCACCTGCCTGTCTCCATCTTAGCAAGGCAGGGGACTACCAAAATAACCAGACTATAAGAACCTCTTATTGGCTTCTTCCCTACAGAGCGAGCTGCTGGCATGGCTGCCTCCCTAGTCCATGGGCCTGTGCATGAAGTAGAGGAAGAGTACGAGTATATGAACCGGCGGCCCCTCAAGAGGATGGCCCCGCAGCCCCGGCCGGCCTCTTTAGAGGAGCTCGGCTATGAGTACATGGAGCTGGGCTCAGAACTGAGTGCGTCTTTGGGCAGTGTGCCCAGCTCCCAACTCACCACGCCCTGTCGGGAGGAGGAGGAGGAAGATGAAGAAGAGGACTACGAGTACATGAACAAGCAGCCCAAGCTCAGCAAGTCCCTGAGCAGCATCCGCAGTTCTCGTGGGGACTATACTGACATGGACTCTGGCATCACGCAGGGCTCCCCGGACGAGCAGGGGTACGAGGAAATGGATGCCATCTTGCCTCCAGTTCAGTGCCCAGGCTGCCAGAGCCCACCCTGCCCTAAAAATGGGTTTGTGAAGCCCTTGCGCACCCTTGAAGCCTCAGACTGTGCTTTTGACAACCCTGATTATTGGCACAGCCGGCTGTTCAGCAAGGCAGATGTGCAGAGGACATAGCCGAGGCTGGGTGTGTTTTCTGTCCATTTGTGAGGGAAACAAACCCTAACCCTGGTTCTTTGGCTGCCGACATACCTGCACTAATCGTCAAAAGGGGATGTTCCACAAGACTACTGAAGCTTGAGGACTTTGGCCATAATGGGCAACTTCAGCCAACTCTGAGGCCTCCTAAGGATGCAGTGTGGCTCAGCTACCTGACGCCATAATCTGATGAGCCACGGCTCTTTGTTCCACACCTCTTTGCTCTGGAAGTCGAAGGGAATCAGAGCCTTATGGAGGCACTCAGTCTAAACTATGGAACCCTTTCTGATACAAACAGAGAGAAGGCCCACCATGGTGAAATGAGACATTCACATGTAGGAAGAAACTAGCTGACTGCTTCTGTGGCCTTAAATTCCTGGGGCTGACATTCTCCTCAGGAAGCAGCTCTGGTTTAGAAAGTCAGCTAGAGTCTTTCTGGTGCTGACCCAGTGAGGTCTTGTGTGGAGAGACTCCTCTTGGGCAGAGCCCTCATCAACAGCCGAGGCCTAATGGGGGCTGTTGTAGTCAGTGTAAAGAAAACCCTCTGCCTGTGCTGAGCCTTGCCATTGGCCATAAGACTGAAGGAAGGCTACCTGGAGAAAAAATGGCGTCCTTGCTTGTCATGCCCTGTCCCTACCAAACGTGCTGAAGAGGAGAAGAGGATTAGTTTTCGGGGTGGATATGAAGGATCATAACATTTTGCTTTTTTGTAGAGCCCAACACGGCCTCACTTAGGGAGACAGTACACCTGAGTTTGAACCTGAGATAAGATTTGGGTGGTTTGGATCCTACCTCTCAATAAGCCACTGAGTTTGAAAAAGATAAAGCCCAGGGCTCCTGGATTCTGCCTTCAACTATGAGTAATGTTTGCACATACCATTAGCAAACCGTGTGCCTTACAAGTTTCCATATCAGGATGTGGAGATACTTTGGAGGAGAGAGTGGCCAGGACACAAAGCCTGAACATGCTGGAGACTTGGACTTCCTTCCTCAGGCGTTTGTGAATAGGCAGCTTAAAGTCACACACACACACACTCTGCCTCTGCCGATCGTGGAAGATCTGGAAGTAAATGCCAGCGTCCCAGAACAAGGAGCAACAGAGAGATACCACAGTCTCTTTTGGAGACGGAAGTAACTGTCCTCTCATCCCTTGGCAGAAAGGGGTTGGAGGCAAAGCCCTTTTGGAAAAACTTCGTTTTCCATATTGCCTTCCCTAGTGAAAAGAAATGTGGGATATTTCCCAAGGTGAAGGCCAAGTAAAGAGAACAGCAATAACGTAGTCTGGTGAACAACTGAAGGGAGCCGTGGTTCTCACTTTGTTGATCTTTGCTGTTCAAGAGACTGCAAAGTCACATTAGGGACCTTAATAGTGTTACTCTTGATTCTTTTGAATCAGGCTCTTTTACACAAGAGTATAGTTTGGGAACAAATTTCTCCCTTCCATCACCACCGCCCCACCTTACCCTGAAGGCCAGTCATGTTGTAAGTAACCCTGACTTTGTTTCCACATGTTCTGCATTGCATCATACCAAGGAATATTTAGCAAAGGGGGAGAAATCAAACCTGATCAGGGAGAGATGAATACTGCAGGGGAGGACTCTGCATTTGATCTTAGGCTCTTGCTTGCATCCTCCAAATGGTGTCTACAGTGTGGTTTGAACAGTACGTCCCTCCCTTACGTAGCCAGTCACCATTTTAGATTAGCACAAAACCAGTATCGCGAAACACAGTTAGGGTTTTTGTCAGTTATCCTCAGAGTCTCCTGCCCCACCCATGTTGATGTCTAGGCTTCCCTTTGAATACAGTATATGATTGAACGTTAAAGCCAAGATTTTTTAATGCACCTTTTATACTGTTATGTAATCAATGGGTTGATGAAGTGCTTAGCAGGAATCAGAATGTGTGAACACCGTAGCTAGTTTTCATCCTTTTGTTGTCCTTTCGAGTCCAAACCGATGGTAGTGGCAATGTGAAAGACTAAGTGATATATGGAAGAAAACTTCACTCTCAAGAGCTGCCTCAGATCACACATTTCTCAGGTTTTCAACAGTGAATTAAAAGTAGAAGCTCCTTTAAACTAAACACTGAAATTCACCAGATTCTGAAGGGGGTCACCTCATTTTACCTTTCCTGTTTTCAGGCTCTGTGCTTATAAGATACAGTACAGTATTGTCTTCCAGTGAACGTTGCTTTCTTCCTTCCCAGTGTGGGAAACACCAGAAGCCCCTCAAATTAGCTCTCTGCCAGGATCAGGATTTTATAGGGTGTGGTTGATTCACAGAGTTGAAAAGCAGCTATAAGTTCTCCTGGCAGCAGCCCTGGCACCTGAGTTAAGCAGAACACCAACCTAAGGATTGCTGGTTGATTAGAGAGAAAACCTCTACTGCCCCCTACTTCTGAGTTATTAAGATTGTTACTGTTTATCTTGGCTCCTGGAGAGGCAAAATCATTGAAATGTCAGTGAAGAAGGAAAGTACACGAGACTAACCACTTTTTATCTTTTTGCCATATTGTTGGATATATATGACTGAAGAACTGCAGCATTTTCTTTTGCAAAAGTATCTGATCCGTCTATAGTCTCTTCCAAAGTATACATTGGTTTAATTAGGCCAACCGTATAGATACAAAAATGTGTGCAAGCTTTAGAGATTGTGTTCAGTGGGAGTCAGATCAGAATTGTGCGATATGGTAAGAAAAATAATTCTTTGTTTATTTTTAGAAGCAGAAAATGTATTAAACAAATAAACCCACTTTTCTACAAACCAGCCAACCAAATTTATGCCACATCTAAATTGGACAGGGCTTCTGTACCTGCACGGGTTGTGGGGAAGTTACAGGTTTACCAGCTCCTCCTCCTCCTCCTTCCACTGTAGCTCTTAGGGGGTCACGTACACCGAAGCGCTATTCATTGCAACTTTTACAGCCCCATCCTGTGCATGGCTATGAAACAAAAATGGCTTTATTTACAGATAAATGTGCATACGCTTGCACTTTTAGAGACAAAATGGTCTCGTGAAGACTGGACTTGGCCATATGTAGCCTAACAAATGGTATACAGTAAAGCAACAGGAAGAAAAGGAATCAATTTTCCTCTGTAACTCAGTATTTTTACTGTGGAAGTGTTTGGTTTTAAAGAGTTTGGCAACAAGGAAATAATTTTGAGCCAGAGTTTAGTTGAGGATGCATGAAAGAAAAATCAGGATTAAAACAGGTAGGTCTATGATGATATGATGATGGGCTGGAGGTTTTCTAGCCCCTGCATACATCCCAAGTACTGTTGTCCCTCTCTTTAGTTAGACAGCTGTGGTATAAGTGAATAGACTATGGCAACCAAAATAAGAACTGTCCAGACAATTAAACTGAGATACCACTTTTTTAAAAAATACCAATTGCTATATACATGACAAACAAGAAGCAAACACACTGGAAGGTGATTCTTTGGCTTTTTTAAAATGTGTGTCTTTGCAATGTTAGGGTCCTTATGCCTCTTTGAACATGTTTCTCAAAGCTGGATGGGTATATGGTCTGTCATTAAAAATAATGTTTAATTTTTGTTTTTCATTGCCGTGCTTGGAAACTGGTGAAATGAAGGTATTTCTCTGTAACAAATTGGAACTGGAAGGAATCCAAATGTTTACACACTTTGAATTGCTTTGTACAATGTCCTAGCCTCAGTGTAACAAGGGATAATAATGGTGTTTCTTTTGTTTTGTTTTTTGAAAGAAGAATAATATACCTCTGTTGTTCTGAGCTGGACAATGGGATACTTCTGTGCCAAGGCATTAGCAAATGGGAAAGATGGCAGTGGGCCCTGAATATATAAGGACATAACAATCAAATGGGTTGAGTTTCATTTTATATTTTTCTTCCTTGTCAAACAGATTATTGTTATGAAAGTTAGATTAATCTTGCAACAAATGCTTACAGAAAAGGCATGAGATTTCTGCCTTTCTTCTAGCTCAGTTCCTGTGCCTTTAATAGCAGCCTTCTAGGCAATCCTGTACATGCCTACTCAGAAGTAGGATCCATTGATAATTATATAAAAGGTTGCAATCAAAGTGGTGGACAAGATTTACATGCTTAATTCATGCACGTTAGCCTCTTACCAAAAACTGAGCAGGGCCAATAAAAGCAAATGGAATTATCAAGCTTTTTAGACAAAATAAAATAAAATACTATGATAGAATATTTTGGTATAAATTGTAAATATGTAAATGCCTGTATTTTATTGTACTGACTTTGGTGCTAAAGAAACCTATACAAGACTTTGAACAACAGCATCAGACCAATTTTTTTTTGTTTGAAAAAAACTATTGTGCTCATTCAGGGATCAGCTCTGTAGCAGAACCTTGAGTTACTTCTCCTGTAACTGCTTCAAAGGTTTAAACTTTAAGCGACATTTTTACCACACTTCAATGTGATTGCCTAAGAAGGCAGGAGAGTAATTTTCTTTTTAATACACATGGTCTTCTGTCAAGTGAAAAGAAAGTCCAGCCTTTTGATGACCCTTGGTTCATTACACAATGTCATTGGCTGTGTTTTCTTAGTCCCAGGCATTGCATTTTGTTAAGGAACTGACTGGAACGGTCATTAGAATTTTATAGAGTCACCAGCTCTTCCAGAACTGTCGTTCCTATGGCTCCCTCTAAGTACCAATGACAATTAAACCAGTTTTAAGTTTATAGTGGGGATATGCTGCTCACCAACTTGTCAACTCATTGCCTTCAGCTTTCTGAGGGCATTTTCCTGCAAGACTGTGTGAGCAGAGGTATGATTTCTGGGCAGGAAGGCAGTCACAGTATTCACGTTTGCTCCTTGGAGAGCAAGTACGAGACACAAGCCACCTTTAAAGATCTGTCCATACAGTGCTTTCTGACAGAGGTACTTTGATGAGTCAAAGGCCTTAAATTGATGTGTGCGTGCGTTTGTCTTTGTCTTTGTCTTGAATACAAAATAAAAACTGATAATGATAAACTGCAGTATTTGTATCTCTTTTTACTAATAGAGTGGGTAAGAACCAATAGGGGGTAGGACAGCAAATACTGTTTAGCACTCAGCAATGATAACATGTTTCAAGCATACAGTGTACATTTTTATGCACATTATTGCAGTAGTAATAACATGGGAAGGTGAGATGGGCTGGTTGCAGATGAAAGCCCTGGAGTATTGGGACATACAGAGGGTTTGGCCGCAATTGCAATATCTGGTAGGGATATGTTTTTCCTACAAGACCATAGCAAGCAACTTTCTACCACTGCATTTTCATACTGAGGAAACTTTGAATTTCTGCCTGTCATACAGTTATTCAAAGCACAAAGCCCTTGCCAGTAAGCCGATTGACATCCTAGGTCTGCATGCAAGAAAAGTGGGGATCTATACTTTTTTCTCTACTATTGAGAATGCTGTTTTTCCTTTAGTGTAACAGGGCCTGTAAGAAAAGACCCAGGTGGCCCTATGCTATGGTACATCCTCTACCCTGCTGCTACACAGACTGTTTTTGTTACTAATGGGGTCCAGCTACATAAAGCCAGATTTAGGCTGAATATCAGGAAAAGCTTCTTAATGGTTAGAGCAGTACAACAATGGAACCAATTACTTTGGACCGCAATACAACAATGGAACCAATTACTTCGGACTGTGGTAAGCGCTCCAATGCTGAAGGCATTCAAGATAAAATTGGACAACTATGGTTTGTATTCCTGCATTGAGCAGGGGATTCAATGGTCTTATAGGCCACTTCCAACTCCATTATTCTACTGCAGAAATCCTATCTTCCAACTCCATTATTCTACTGCAGAAATTATGCAACACATCCTACATGTCTGTAGTAGGGACGCTAGAACTGTTCTTCAGTGTAGAGTTGCAGTGTCATGGGCACTCCCGGTATCATTATTAGTGGAAAGTTTTAGGCTGACCCTCACTAACATAGTAGCTTCAGCAGGCTTGAAATAATGGTGCTTTAGTTCACTGCTAGAATTTCTGACTGAAGGTTTGTAAGTGCAGTAAAACTGAACATTTATTCAAAGGAAAAAAATGCTATGCTTTAGAGATATTGTTTTTCTAAACGGCGTATGCAACATCTAGTTCCCCTTAGCTTTGAAATAAAGATGCTCACTGCTGACTTGCGAATGGCTATAGAAGATCTATATAGCTGAGAGATTGGCTGCGTACTGACTTCATTGTCAAGGCGGGATTTAAAACAGGGACCTGCATATGCACAACTCATGGTCTCTCAGCCCAATAAGATGCATATTTGGACCCAAGTCCAACTGTGTTTGGTATGGTTGATTCCAAGGGAAAGACTATAGGATTGCACTCTCCGAGTGGATGGCACCCATACTAGCACTGCAAGGTAGCTTATACGTAGGCAACACCACTGGCTGTCTTTCACCTTTGCTGCTCGCCCACCCAACCTTCTAGTCAAGAGTAACAGCAGGATAGTAAAGAAAAACATTGGGTATCTGGTGATAAAACAGGAAAACAAATTCTAAACTAGAAATATTGGCCATCTTGTAGTCTGTGCCGAGTAATCTAGGATACCAAGTTTGCGGTTTCTCAAGCTATCTGGTGATAAAACAGGAAAACAAATTCCAAACTAGAAATATTGGCCATCTTGTAGTCCGTGCTGAGTAATCTAGGATAGCAAGTTTGCAGTTTCTCAAGATGCTTGGTGGGCAGCCAAACCACTGCATTACATCTGCAGCCAACAAAAAAACCAGAATAGTTTGCAGGGAGACTGGACTTATTAAGTTGGTCTACCCCCACAGACCAATGGGTCCAAAGGATTTCTAGGATGCTTTGGGAGGGTTTCTAGCCAATGTGGCTGATGCTCCCATCGAAGCCCAGGTCACTTCATAGTAAACCCAGGTGACTCAGGAGGCTGACATGACTGCTGCCAAATGCCTCCTCCAATGTCTGTCCCTCTCTGTGGTTCACTGATGAGCTTAGGGTAATTAAGCAACAGAGGAGGAAACTGGAGTACATTTGGAGACAGACCCCTATGGTGCAATTTAGCTGCAATCAGAAAAATGTCCAGCAAATACACAACGGTAATTGAAGTTGCAAAAAGGGCATACAACATCAATCAAATCAATGAAGCATCCAATCAACAACTATAATTCTATTGCGTGGTTTGTGACCTCACTAAATCTGGACATCAATTTGGCTTCATCAACAGACATCTCTACCTGTAATCAGTTTGTGGCTCATTTTAGATGAAAGATTGAAGCCATCCATTGGGATCCTTAGTACCAGGGTAGAAGAATGGTGGGATCCCATCCTTACTGACTGTGGCCTATCTGTCAGAAAATCCTTTATCCACATGCAGATCTCCTGAGGTAATCCCAGGTTGATCATTTTTAAAAACAACCTATTTGGTAGAATGGTGTTAAAAGCAGAGCTATAATCCACAAACAACAGCCTCGCATAAGTTCCCTGTTGTTCTAAGTGGCTCAATACAGTATGGAGTACGATGGACACAGCATCATCAGTAGATCTATTTCTCCTGTATGCAAATTGCCATGGATCCAAAGAAGGTGGAAGACTAGCCTTAATGTAATCCAGCACCAATCTCTCAAAACATTTCATAATAACAGATGTTAAAGCTACTGGTCTATAATCATTGGGAGATACCACAGCTGACTGCTTCGGGACTGGCACTATAATAGATGTCTTCAGGCAAGTGGGGACAGAACACTGCAACAAGGATAGATTGAAAATATCCGTAAAAACTCCAGCTAATTCTGCAGCACAGCCCCTAACAACTCGTCCCATGATTCCATCTGGTCCAGCTGCCTTTCGAATATTAATATTCTGGAAAGCGCGTCTCACATCTGAAATCTGCAGTACTAGTGGTTGTCTGTCGATGGTAGATTCTAGTGATGTATTATGGACAGTAGGTGCTGGAATAATGGTTGTTCCTGTTTCCACCTCAAAACGGCTGAAAAATTGATTTAACTGCTCAGCCAAAAAATCACTGCTGCTACACAGACTGTTTTTGTTACTAATGGGGTCCAGCTACATAAAGCCAGATTTAGGCTGAATATCAGGAAAAGGTTCTTAACGGTTGGAGCAATACAACAATGGAACCAATTACTTCGGACTGTGGTAAGCGCTCCAATGCTGAAGGCATTCAAGATAAAATTGGACAACTATGTCAGATATCTTTTGGTTTGTATTCCTGCATTGAGCAGGGGATTCAATGGTCTTATAGGCCACTTCCAACTCCATTATTCTACTGCAGAAATTATGCAACACATCCTACATGTCTGTAGTAGGGACGCTAGAACTGTTCTTCAGTGTAGAGTTGCAGTGTCATGGGCACTCCCGGTATCATTATTAGTGGAAAGTTTTAGGCTGACCCTCACTAACATAGTAGCTTCAGCAGGCTTGAAATAATGGTGCTTTAGTTCACTGCTAGAATTTCTGACTGAAGGTTTGTAAGTGCAGTAAAACTGAACATTTATTCAAAGATAAAAAATATTCTATGCTTTAGAGATATTGTTTTTCTAAACGGCGTATGCGACATCTAGCTTCCCTTAGCTTTGAAATAAAGATGCTCACTGCTGACTTGCGAATGGCTATAGAAGATCTATATAGCTGAGAGATTGGCTGCGTACTGACTTCATTGTCAAGGCGGGATTTAAAACAGGGACCTGCATATGCACAACTCATGGTCTCTCAGCCCAATAAGATGCATATTTGGACCCAAGTCCAACTGTGTTTGGTATGGTTGATTCCAAGGGAAAGGCTATAGGATTGCACTCTCCGAGTGGATGGCACCCATACTAGCACTGCAAGGTAGCTTATACGTAGGCAACACCACTGGCTGTCTTTCACCTTTGCTGCTCGCCCACCCAACCTTCTAGTCAAGAGTAACAGCAGGATAGTAAAGAAAAGCATTGGGTATCTGGTGATAAAACAGGAAAACAAATTCCAAACTAGAAATATTGGCCATCTTGTAGTCCGTGCTGAGTAATCTAGGATAGCAAGTTTGCAGTTTCTCAAGATGCTTGGTGGGCAGCCAAACCACTGCATTACATCTGCAGCCAACAAAAAAACCAGAATAGTTTGCAGGGAGACTGGACTTATTAAGTTGGTCTACCCCCACAGACCAATGGGTCCAAAGGATTTCTAGGATGCTTTGGGAGGGTTTCTAGCCAATGTGGCTGATGCTCCCATCGAAGCCCAGGTCACTTCATAGTAAACCCAGGTGACTCAGGAGGCTGACATGACTGCTGCCAAATGCCTCCTCCAATGTCTGTCCCTCTCTGTGGTTCACTGATGAGCTTAGGGTAATTAAGCAACAGAGGAGGAAACTGGAGTACATTTGGAGACAGACCCCTATGGTGCAATTTAGCTGCAATCAGAAAAATGTCCAGCAAATACACAACGGTAATTGAAGTTGCAAAAAGGGCATACAACATCAATCAAATCAATGAAGCATCCAATCAACAACTATAATTCTATTGTGTGGTTTGTGACCTCACTAAATCTGGACATCAATTTGGCTTCATCAACAGACATCTCTACCTGTAATCAGTTTGTGGCTCATTTTAGATGAAAGATTGAAGCCATCCATTGGGATCTGGACCCCTTTAGTTGTTTAGCAGGTCAGGCTGAGACATCCAGTGCACCACCTTATCCTGTTTTATTGCATCAGGTTCAGCCAGTAACATCTGCAGGTGTTCATGGAAGAGACCAACTCTTTAGATCTGTTCCAGTCTGGGTTCAGGCCCCAGCGTGGCACAGAGACGGCACTTCAGGATGACCATTTAAAGGAGGCCAACAGGGGTAGTCTGATCCTGTTGGTCCTCCTCGATCTCTCAGCAACCTTTGATACTGGTGACCATGTTATCCTCCTGGATAAACTATCAGGTCTTGGGATTCATGGCCTTATGCTAAGCTGTCTCCGGTCCTTCCTCGATGGCCAACTCCAGAAAATGCAGCTAGGGAAGACTGTTTTGACTCTGTGGGTCCTCAACTTCAGGGTAATGAACTCGTAGTTTCAAAAACTGACTACTGTAAATGGACTTGACACAAGGTTTCCCTTGAGGCTGACACAGAAGCTTCAAGAAGCCCAAAATACGACAGCCAGGTTGATTGCCAGGGTGAAGAAATATGACCAAATCACTCAGATCCTGGCTAGCCTGCACTGGTTACCAGTCAACTTCTGTGCCAGGTTTAAAATGCTGGTTCTAACATATAAAGCTCTGAATAGTTTGGGACCTCTTTACCTGTCCAAACATCAAGTACCTGTCTGACCAGGTCCTCAGAGACCACACACCTAAGAATATAAACACTTCAAGAGGCCCCGAGAACAGTAACCGGGCCTTCTCTTCTGCGGTACTTTCCTTGTGGAATGTGCTGCCACGGGAATTACATCAGGCACCCTCTATCTCCCTGATTAACCCTATCTATCTCAGTATCTGTTCTCTCTCTCTCTCTGACTAACCAGCCCTATCTCTCTATTAGTATCTCATCCCAATCTCCATCTGACTCTATAGTCTTCACCCGTCAAACCTCATGTAGCTGCTGACTCCGCCTCTCCAGCCCTCTCATAGGTTCATGCAAATCAGCTCATGAATATGAATAGACATGAGTGCCATGAGCCCATAAATTGAAACAGATTATCCACTACATCAGTTCAACCTTTTTACATCCTCAACCTTTTATTTATTTATTTATTTATTGGACTTATATACCGCCCCATAGCGCTACAAGCACTCTCCGGGCGGTTTACAACTTTAATTATACAGGCTACACATTGCCCCCCCAGCAAGCTGGGTACTCATTTTACCGACCTCGGAAGGATGGAAGGCTGAGTCAACCTTGAGCCGGCTACCTGGGATTTGAACCCCAGGTCGTGAGCACAGTTTTAGCTGCAGTACAGCGTTTTAACCACTGCGCCACGAGGCTTTTAAGCCCCATGGACTGGCTGGGGAAGGCAGGGCACCCCCTGTGCTCATGCGCATGCGCGAAGGGCGCACAGCACTCATGCAGGTGCAAACAAGCTGGAGGGGGAAGTGCGTGCAAAGGTGGGGGGGAGAGGTCTCTCTCCACCGCCGGGTCTGGCCCAGGACACTGACCAGCAAAGAACCTGAGTGCCTCAATTGTAGAAAATCACCCCAAATTTGTGTTGAAGGAGCTTTTTAGCTACCAACGGTTTGAATTTCCCGCCTTTTTCTGTTCTTCCGTCTGCTCACAAGTCGAAGCAAAACTGTACGAGTGGAGCTGCTCCTAAATCGAAAGGTTCGTAAGTCAAGGCACCGCTGTTATAGATTTTTCAGGAGGTAGATAAGGTGGCCAGGCACTCCCATTTCTTTAAGGACTTGCCATAAGTTTGTTGTGGTCGATACAATGACTTTTGCATACTCAATGAAGCAGAAGTGCAGTAGGTGTTTTTCTGGAACTCTCCGGCTTTCTCCATAAAGGAAGCTATTCCATAAAGGAATAGCTTTCTCCATAAAGGGAGCTATTAAGAGGTCGTTATTCTGGATTAACTCGCAGTGCAACTGCAGGGGCCTGCCTGCGCAGCGTGTTCCACGGCCTCCCAGCTTGCACGTACTGCCGCTAGAACCGGTCCCACGGCCAGAACAAAACGGCGGCGCCAGATCAAGAAACGAAGATGAAACGCGGCGCCTGCAGGTCCATCTTCAGCCGAGAGGCGTCGCGATTTAAAAGGCGGCGCGAGCTCGGTTTCCCCACCAACCCCCACTTGCGCGCGATGGTTTTTCCCATCAGACCCTTCGCCGTGTGGACGTCAGCCTGCCGGCGCCGGCCCCTTGACGGGAATTGTAGTTCCCGGCGGCTGAGGGGGAAGCCGGACTCGCTTCCCAGCGTGCCGCGCGCAAAGCCCGCGCGCTAGCTGGCTCACCTCGGGGCTGTCTTGCTGTCGGGCTTGGTGAGGGAGGCGGGCGGGCGAGAAGGAGAGAAAGCGAGCGTGCAGGCGGGAGGTCGGGGAAAGAGGAGCCAGAGCGGCGGCCAGCGCCGCTGCCGTCACGACGACCCGGACAACGAGGTGGTTGCGCGGCGGGGGAAGGGCTTGAAGCGAGGCGGCGTGAAGCGAGGCGGCGGCGGCGGCGGCGGCGGGGCTGAGTCCGACCATGTCGGGCGAGGAGGAAGCGGCCGAGCTGACGATCGCGGAAGACGCGGTCGTGAACAAGTACAAGATGGGGGGAGAAATCGCCAACCGGGAGGGGGGCCTGGGCGGTGG